ATGAAGAGATTAAACAACACTGGTCCCAGTAAGGAGCCCTGAGGGACACCACTTGTGACTGCTTTCCACTGACATAGAGCTATTGACCACTACTCTCTGGATGTGACCATCCAGCCAATTCCTTACCCACAGAACAGTCCACCCATTAAACCCTTATCACTCCAACTTAGAGGGAAGGATGTCGTGGGGGACTGTGTCAAAGGCCTTGCAGAAGTGCAGATGACATCCGTAGCTCAAATGATTTACAGCTGGAAACATTAGACTAGTTTGAAACATATGGGAAATCAGAAAGATGTCCTGTCTTTTCAGAATTAAGACAGTAAATGAAACTCTTGTTACTTACGGATTAAAGGTTTCCATTTGATTTTGGGAAGAGGAATAATTGCATTATCGTTCCTGGATTCCAGAGCCTTTGGGTTGGTTGGGAATTTCTCAGAAATTCTGACTGATGACTGAAGATACAACTGGCCCCTGTACATACCTAAGTAATATGGCAGAGAGCATCTTGGTCTTAAGATTTAGTTGTCTTCACCCCCAGAATAAAATTGCCCAGATAAAACACATGATTAAAAACATTCTTGAAAATATTTCTTTATATTCTGAGAATCTGAGATACTGACTCTGATTGCCAGGCTGGATGACTTCAAGTAACATGCTCCCTCTGTTCTAGAAAACCAAGAGATCAGGATATCTCATTTTCACTGTGAAAGAGCTGGTGCTACAGAAAAATGCCAGCAATTTTGAAGAGTTACAAAGCAGCTTGGGCTTTGCATACGTAAGACTTCTTTCAAACTTCCTACCCTTGTTAATGCTGGTACAGATAACTCCTCACCAGCCATCACCAGGAAGGCTGGAACAATCTGACTGCTTCTTAGCGTTACTCTTTATTGCGTATCAACTAACATGAAAGCTACAAGGTGTGAAGACTTCTAGAAAAAGACTAAGGCAAACGAAGTCTTAGAAAACCAAAGCACATTTACCTCCCAGAGACAGACAGACAGCTGAGAGGAAGGACGACCTGAGGCCACTATTTCAAATTGTCACAAACCACATCAAATGAATTCTGACAGCTGGATGAAAACTTAATCACATAAAATCTTAACTGAAATTTCCTCATGGTAAATTACTGTAATCAGTGTAGAGGAAAAAATGAATGTGACAAACTAGTGGGCTGGAGGGAGAGACTCCTTATTGCTTACTGAGCAATAAGATTGCCTTGTTAGCTATACACCTATCTTTAAAAGTTTCAAGACTTTCAATCATCTCCAATGTACTGAAACTACAAAGTAGTGAACATTTCAGAATCAAAATAGGAAAGATTTATGGTTTTGAAATAGGAAAAAAGAAAGAAAAAAAATCAATCTTTTAACTATCACTGTTTAGGCTGAACACAGATATTAATTCTAAAGGTATACCATACCTTCCGTAATTGACAGAATTTCTAAGATGGGTACACAGAACTCTGACTTTGAATGACAACAGCAAAGATGACCACAGCAAGCTAGGAAGAGATGAGAACACATCTCTACCTTTTGAAAGTCTTTAAATCAAGTCAAGGTGCCTTTCTGGGATATACATGTTAGTGAAGTCTTAATTTTGGGGCTTTATAAAGCATTGTGGGTTAAATTTAACAGCCTTCATTATGCAGAATATTAAGACTGGACGCGTTATGGCTCCTTGTAACTAATCTACCAGCACAGAAAAATCTGCTTTACTAGAACCTCAGAAAGCAGAATAACATCTACTACAGAAAATGCTGCAGTCCGTGTCTCACCCAAGTAGACGCTGGATTCTGTGGCCCCTCTGGCAGCTTCCACAAGATCTTCTTCATCTTCCAGTACTTCATTGTTCGCAGTGTAACTTGTGTCATCAAACAGACTGATCGGAATTACTTTGCCATCCTTAACCAGCCACGCAGAAGCAATTGGAGTGCAAAACTGAAGGAGAGAGGGGTAAATGGAAAATTAATGTTGTATTAACTAGATATTACAAAAGAATAATGCTAAACAATGCCCTTAAATTGCTTGGTTTAGCTTTTTTAACAGATGTAGGAGCTCAAAGTCAGAACTTCAGTTAAAAAAGTTACAAGCAGGTGTGTGCTTCTTTACAAAGACTGCACCTGAAACCCAAGATGAAAGACATAATCTATGATGCTGCAGAACTTCTAACGTGCATAACATTTAATATTCTGTCTGTTCCCCTACCTGGTATTCCCATTCCAGATGTCCTCCTCGTTTGTTAAAAGCCATCACCTTCCAGTCAGCTACTGAGACCTTTATCACTGTGTCTTTCATCATAGCTTCCTGCTCATCCACATCCGAAATAATTTTTGTTTCTTCTTTGTTCATATTTGATTTAAAATTGCTCTCAATATATCCCGCTCTAGTTTCGATATCTGGGACGTAGCGCAGCTCGAAGTGACCAACGCTGAAATTCCACCTTAAAGAAGAGAAAAACTTTGTAGAAACAATTTCTCTATTCCAAGGAAGTCCCAAATCCTCCGTCCAGAAGATTCTTAAACTGAATTACCTATAGTTGGCCCACATTTTCCACAGTAACCTCTCAGACTGTCAGATGAACCCAACTGTACCAGGAGGGGGAGCGCTAATCCAGAACACAAACCAAACAAGCTAAGAAATCTTGTCCAACATGATGGGCGAGTGGAGAAAACAGCTGGTGAAGTACAGCTAATGGCACTAAAGGTTTAGCATATGGACAGGGCAATTAAAATCATCAAGTAGTACAGTTGGGTCTGTTTATTAGGAAAACACTACGTACTCAATGAAAGCAAGAAGTATAAAGCATCTAGGAAGCAGCACTCTATATAAGACATTTATCTTTATCAATCAAGAAGGTTTAATTCGAAACATAAGATTTTTCAATCTGAGGGATGGACAATGCTTTTTCTTTCCTTTTGTTTTAATCCCACACACAACCTAACACAGGATCTCTTTGACAGGTGCTTCCTGGAACCAGGACCGCTCATTTCCCAGAGGTTAACACCGAGAAAATACAACTGTATAAGGAACACAGTTGTCTCAGCCAAAAGCTCTTAAATTTCAGTAAACCAATGAATTAGGGTAGAAACTGAAAATTATTTTCAGAAAGAGAAAGAATAATTATTTTCTTTTTTCCATGATACAACCCAATGCTGTAGAGAAGGTACAGATGGGAAAGCATGGCAAGTTTGTGTCTTGAAGAGCAAGAAGGGAGAACTATTTCTTGAACAGCACGTTTGGTACCCAAAGTTTCTTAGGACCAGACTGGCAACCACCAGGAGCCCAAACCGTCTCCTTAAAGAATTCATACCCTTACGGTAGAAGTTTGGCATATTTTATATATTCAGTTTATTTATGAAAAGTTTTTCTTTCTCTGGATTAAAAACCCAGATCCATCCTGTAAACTCCATGGCAGCCATACTGTGTCACTAGGAAAGCACCTACTTCTGACTACAGAGAGGGGAGGACTCTGGTGCACAAGAGGTCATACTGCCCTTCTGAAGAGATGTACGAAGGAAAAAGTATGGTTTTATGACATACCTATCCCTGCCAGTATCAGCCTCCAAGAACCACAGAACCCAAGACTTCTCTTTTCAGACATCTGATCCGCAAATCTACTGGAGTTCTAATTAGGTTCTCTCTGACACGCTACGGACACACAAATCCTGTCAAATCCTACTGCAAACAGAAGAGGGAGCAGGGGAACCGGGAATGACTAGCTCTCCACTAAACTGTTGGGCAGTTATTGTATCTATGTATGGCAACCAGCCTTTTAAACCTGTATTTTATGAAGTCGGTTTGGGGTTGTTGCTTTGGTTTGGGTTTTTTTTTTTTTTTAGTAGAACACATCTATATTTTTTTTTTTAGAAGTCTTGATGTATTAAAACTTCTATGTGACAGCATTAGGAAAGTCACAGACTGAACCATTTTCTACAGCCTGTAAAGAACAGACCACCTACATTATGAAATGAACACAGTAGATGTAAGAATGCGACTTGTAAAAAGTAAGATCGAAGACATTCTAAAATAACAGGTAAAGACATCAAGTATAAAAAAAAACCAAACAGTGACAGTTACCATGAGCAGGTAAAGAACTTAAAAAGTGATTTAGTAGGTCATAAGAAGACTTTTAAACTGCCTCCTTTCGTACAAAAATCAACAGTTGGAACAAACATTAGTGACATTTGCCTTGTGCAGTAGAGCAGTGAAACACTTTTGAGGTATGCAAGGACAAGGAAAGTAATTTTCATTTCATTTAGAGGGAATAAATATGTGCACATATCTTTTCTGTCTAATCATCTATAAAATTGAACTTCAAGACATTTTACAAAAGCACTGAACAGCAAGGAGGTTAGATCCTAGCCAACAGTCTGGTGCATTCCTTTGGTTATCAATCTAAGCTCCCTGGTGTAATTCCTAGTCGAATGAGAGTAAAAAGAAGGTCAAATCCTTAAAACATTACATATTAAGAACTTCTCTGTATCAGATTGTTTCTGAACAATTTTTACACTCACTTTTCATTCCCACTGCGTGGCCCAACAGCACGGACTGTTTTCTGGGTTCGGTGTAACAGGAGCGTCTCCTCCTGTTCTGTTTCATCGTCATCCCACCGGCGACAGCCCATAGCTGAGCAGATGTACTTCACCTAAGGAACAAGGCAAGAGACTCACACGTGCTTCCAAGTTCTGAAGAACTTAAAGACAAACAAATGTAATCAACAGCGATATTCAAAGCTAACAATCCTTACAACGCATTTTTTGGCTTGCAGACAGACAATTTGGAGCTCTGTGATTTTAGATGCTCGACTCGCGGGATGTTGAAAAGCCTGGTTTAAGAGATAAGGGCTTTTCAGAACTAAAATTTTCAAAAGACTCTAATAAGTCTACAGTCTATTTTGACTACATTTTGCACATATTTCTACCTTTAACAGGAAGAAATCTTAGCGCTCTCTTTTCCCACTATTTCTACGGACATCGAAAGACCATTCCTACAAGACCCGTAGCATAATTCTGCTTTCATGCCATATTTGTCTCAGCATAACTCTACCAGCTTCAAATGAAGTACTACTGAGTTATAAAACATAGCACAGAGCCTTACCCCTTTGTCTTGTCAGCTATTACAGGGGAAAGACGACCTTATTTGACTCTCTCAGTCACACGGACTTTGCAACTGTCCCAACCTCAAACAGAATTTGGATTATATGGGCAATTGTATTTTTGAAAAGGGAGGTGAACACATTTTCAGGAAGTCTGAATTGACATCACACTGCCAAAGACAACAGACTGCCCAAACTCTTAACGAGGAAGAGTCAGGCACCGTTTCCTGTATAAGGCAACTTTGCTACTGTAAGCATAAGCCAGGAATCAAAGCAGAAACTGAAATTTCCACTTCCTGAACGCTGGGGTAGAAGCAGTCTGTTGGTGCATAGTGCCTTCTGCTATCAATGAGAAAATCAACATGATTTCATGAACTCTCAGGTCTACGCTCTTTATCACTAGTGATCACTCTACACCATGCCATAGACGTGTTCTACATCAAAATGTATGGTCCAAATGAAAAAAACACAACCTGATTTTGTGGAAAACAAACAGTGGAAGTTTAAAATTTTTCAGCTTAATCTATTTTTTTTAAGTTGTTTTAAAACGCACCGATGTTTCTGACTTAGCACATGTCTTTTCTTCACTACATAAAGTATCTACAAGCATTTTAATGACATCTGGCGTTAAGGACTGGGAGATGGATGTCAAATTCTAAGAATCCAAATAACACGATTAAATCCTGTGCTTTTTCTAGCTTTTTTCTCTTCTGTGTTTTTGCAAAATATACAAGGGAGAAAAATACCTCCTGAACCAGTCAGATAGCAAGTAGTTTTCAACTTAACTTTTGCGTGACTTTAAAATGTAACAACTTCTTCTAAGAGATAGTAAACTCCGACAACTACAAGTTTTAAGCTCTTGCATAGGTTGAATGCTTTTCTTGTTTCCAACCAGCTATCCCTCATTAGTTGTGAAAGAAGTGTGTCACCTCAAGCCTTCTCTGATACGCAGTAAGCTGAACAGCAGTCTACCTCAAGCAGAGCTGTATGATGAAGTCAAACTCCTCTCCCAACTCAGTAGAAAGGGGTCATCCCTCTTCCCCTCCCGCCCACCCTCCTCACCTCTGGTCCCTGTCCCCTCTTCCCTTGTGCTGGCTCTGGCACTCCAACCCCTTGCTGAGCTGGCTACAGCTAATCCAGCACAAAACTAAACCCCCAAAAGCAGAACAGGGCTCTGTTGGGTTAGAAAGTTGAATCGGCTTTGCAAAAGGCACGACAAGTGTTACAGCCAGCACATGGGACAGAGCCGAAGCTCACAGGCAGGAGGAGATCGCAGCGAGGGGCTCAGCCGTACCATCGAACTGCCCCAGCCGTTACCCTTACTCCAGCCCGCCACATTCACTGCCCAAGCAGCTCAGACTCTGCTCTTCCGTGCAGTGCAGTTGTACACTTGAGCTCTACTGTAATTAAACCTCAGGAGCAACCTATCTGCAAGATAACGCACGGAACGCCCAAACGCAAGGCAACTTTTCAGGCTCTCACCTTCCCTGAGTATGAGCTCAGCCCGTAGGTCGTCAGCGACTTTCCCCCAACTAAGACAACGTCCTCGCCAAATTTGTAGGATGACTCAAGAAGAGATTCAACTGTGAAAGGAACTGCTTCCATGGTCTCTCGATCCCGATCCCACTGGAAAAGGTCCCCATCCAAGGAAGGGATTATCATCTTATTTCCAAATACCTAAAACAATTGAGTTGAAGGTTAGCCACCTAACCACAATTTTATCAAAACACACAGATGACAAATGGAAGCAGAAACACTGTACAAGCAACTACGGTGCATTATGTTCCAGTGTCCTATTTTATGGTTTTATATCCCAAAGTCTTATCTTTCAAAGTTACTCTGAACACAGAAAAAACTTTCAGGCATTCAAGTAAAACCCGTATTTCACTATTCTTAGTTAAAAAACAGTGTGATGAGTGACACTTCTTCCACTTTAAGCAAAACATTTTAAAGCTCAATCAGTTGATAGATTAGTATTCATTCAAAGTGTAGAAAATACAATACAGGGAGAAGCACTCTTGAAAGAGAGAGTCACTGGCTAAAGTGCAAATTTTGCAGATTGTGATAGTTTCAAGACAGTGGCATTGCAGGTAAAGTTCTACTTAATTGTTGTTTTTTTTTTCCCCAGAGTGAGTTTACTGCTAAACACAGAATCAACCATTCTGCCTAGATCAGAAGACCAAGTTTTGTTTTAAAAGAAAAGCTGAGGCTGTAGGTGAACTCTTTTACAATTACTGACTACTCCAGAATATCTGTTCTCCTGTAAAGCAGACAGGGCAATTATCATTGAGATCAGAGCTCACATTTCACCTTTGCCTTTCCAGACAGTTAAATCTAACTTCTCCTCCCCAGAATTTCTTAAGTATACTGTTCCTTTAAAACTTGCCTGGCTTTTTCTTAAACACACAAGTCAAAAAAAAAAATCTTCACCAGGATAAAGCATTTCATCCATTACACTGAGATTTTCAAGGAGGCCCTAGTTCGGAAGTATGAGTCATTGTCAATGAGTACTAAGGGACTTATTAAGAAACTCATTATCAGCATGATAGACCATAACTAATACAGTGGAGCCACAGCGGCTATGCCCATCAAGAATAGTGAGGAACTGTAATCCACATAATCTTAGCTTTTGAGGATATGGATTAACATGGACGATTTTAATGCTTTTTCAGAACCTCTGTCCATTTGGGCAGTATTCTACAACATAATTACATTAAATTCAGATACTTTACACATTAGGATTTAAAGACTACTTCTGGTACATGTGTAATAGTCACTTCAAAAAATATTCCAGCTCAGACTCCAAGGCACAGACGTGTATTACGAAACCGTACAAATGATCCAGAAGGTTTCTGGTTATTATTTCTGGAACCACTGTGAGGATCTGAAACCACATCTTCTGCATGATTAAAATTATCTCTAACATGAGACTTTTTATTCCTCTAACTGGGTCACAGATGAGCCAACAGCATTAAGCGAAGTTGGGATTCACCTAAACAGGGAGGGAAAAGACAGATCTTGCAAATGCATGCATGTCATGACTAATACCTCTTCCTACACTGTTTGACACACCTCATTCAAAGAGAAAATTTAGATGAGTTACCAGACAATGTTAGTGACTGTATTTAAGATCCCTAAAGGATCCAACGCCGATGCTTTCTGGCTTTGAAAAGCCTCGTGGTGACTGACAATTAAAATAAAAACTCCTCTGAGGAGCACAATGTGTAATTGAAGAGATGATAAAAATAAACACCTGAGAGGGGCTGCAAAGTTCTTTACAAAGCAAAATGAGGTATGTTCTTTCCCTCCCAGGTATTTACCTTATGGCAAAAAAGACCAAACATCCTGGAAGCGACATTGCATGAGATCTGTGATGCACAAGAAATGTTGCATTATGGCCTAGCATTGGGGAAGAAAAATACACAGAGGGCTCTATACATATGCTTAGAGAAACAAACCAACAAAAAAGCAAAAATACGTGTGGGGAGAGGTCAGTTGTAGAAATCACCTCATCAGCAGAAAAACAGAGCAAACAAATAAGGTTTACACAAACATTCATATTCAAGAGCAGCCTTGTGATCTTGAGAAACAAAGGCATGCAGATTTTGGAAAATACCTTTTTAAAAACAAAAGATGCCAGTGCCAAAGTTGCAGCTGTAGCCATATTCGGGTACCTTGTTAAAACATTCAACACTGAAGAATAATATCATAAAATGTTTTTGCAATATATTCTTTCAGAAATTTTGATGGCAACTTTTAGCCGGTGCAGCTGTTACTCTGCATTAATAAATCGTCCATAAGGTTTCATCCTGCACACGGTCCAGACACTTGCAAGTAGTTTCGAGGGCCATGCTCCCCTCCAGCAATACGAGATATTCCATATATAAATGATGAACAGCAAAGGTTCTTTTTATAAGCAGCTTTCCAAATACACAGATGCCAAACCAGCTCCTGCACCACTGTTTCAGCACACAGAGCCCAAGCCCAGCAACCCCAGCCACGGACTGACTGAAGTCAGATCCTGAAGAAATTCTACTGACCAGTCAGCTAAACTCACACAGCGTGGTCAAACCAGACGCGTGCCAGTGGCAGCCAGACACCCGCTGGCAAGTTCAGACATTTGCTGGCAGCCACAACCGCAATGGCTCTGTAACGTGCCATGCCCCAAGGGCTGCAGACCACCCCGTCCCTTTGTGAGGAGAGGAGGCAGCGGTGCAAAGTGCCCAGGAATCGCTGCTGAGCACGGGGGACTCTCGGTGGGGAACTCTGGGGACAGCGTGACACACATCACCTTAAGTATTCCCCTTGTCCTGAAGTTCTTGCTCCAGGGTCTGAGTAGGAAATTTTCCACTAGCAAATAACAGGCAAAATGTTGGCCGTTTCTGGGAACCACACGCCCAAACTCCCAACACGTGTAAAGCTCACTCAGCAGCACACACTTGTATACTCCCAAGATATGGGTCAAATCAGGTCATGGCTTGTACGCCTTGCAAAATACCCCGACAGTGGGACACGCCTGCTCATCTGTTAAAACCTCGGTCCACATAACCTTTGGAGGACAGATGAGCCTGTTTCGGTCAGCTCTGCTGATCACCTGCCTGTGCTCCCAACCTCGAGGGCACCTACAGGAGCAACAATGTCCTGCGTGACACTGGGAAAGAAAGGCTGAGAAAAGACTCAATTGCTGTCGATGGAGACATCAGGAAAGGGAGCAGAGGCAGTAGGAAGAGCTATTGCACCGAAGGGCAATGCCAGAGCACGAGCACATGGGGTTAAACTGACCCTAAGTGCAAGCTAGACATTTCAGTTACTAACCATCAAAATGTGGTATTTCACAACAGAAACAGAACAGAAAAGAAAAAAAAAAATCCACCACCTTTTTCTGAGATTAATCTATCTATAAATGGGATTACGCGACATGGTGCTGACAAGGGACTGCACCTGATTACCACAAAGGCAGTCTTTTACTAAAATAGCTTTATTTGAAGAATGGGACAGGTATACCAATGTGCATACTTGCAGGTGCCCACGTAACAAAAAGCATTTGTGGCCGCTCGTGCTGACAGCATTTAAAAGAGCAGTTTAGCCAGAGGCTTTAGAAGGACATCAATAATAACAACTCCTATCCGAGTTATGCAGCTCATTCTCTAGTACATCAGAAGCAGCAAAGGGACTTTCCTTGAAAGTACTAGCAACTAGCATCGGCATGCAGCTCAGGTAAAGGAATGACATCACCCTGTATCTCAAAAGCATTACCTCATCTCCTAATCCAAGGAGTGAGTCACCCAGGCAGTCAGCTGCAAATCTCTTGGCACAGAAAATGTAGGTTACCACGACGCACTTACACATTCCTCTGATCTATCAATGTAAATAGCTATTTGTTCAGCTTCACTGGTCAGCAATATGGCACATAATTGTTAAGTGGCTTGTCTTTCAGAACTAACACTTAAAAAGCCCCCCCCCCATTAACTATCGAGCCCTAAATGAGAGGCTGCTCTTTTGCTCATTAAGAGTTTGAAGCCGAAGTTCTCCATTGGCTCGGCGCGGGTGCCGCAGCCCTATCAGCGGCGCTGGCTGCTCAATCTCCAGGCCGACGGGTGAGGTAATGCAGTTTCTAAAAAGCCTTCACAAAAAAAAAAAAGCAAAAAAAAAAAGCATAACGATCCGAAATGGCATACGCTACCAGGGAATTTGCTGTCTAGACTCTTTACTGGAAAGGAGGGCACCGCGCACGAGGTTCCATGGCAGGTTGATCGGTGCAGGAAGAAAGCTACTGATTTATAGCAGTGGAGAAAAAAAGAAAAGAAAAGAAAAAAATCGTGTAAACAGCTATCAAAACAAACTGAAGTACTAAAGCTTCCACGAGCCGTTCAACAGCAAGTGTGACATTCATTTCCCATGCCTAACACTCTTTATCATGTGAAGAAAAATCAAGCCTGCTCACATGCAGGCACACCTGAGACAAATCTGGTGCCAAAACAGTCGATATTATTGTTTTCAGATGGGCTGGACTTTCCAATAACTCCAAGGAAACAACTAAGCCCAGGTAAAATCTTCTCCTTAGAATAGGAAGTGTTATGTTTTAATGTTTTTCTAACACTGCAGCTTGTGGTTTTCAAACCTGACTCTTACAATAAACTGCAAGAGCTTCGTTCCAGCTACTAATTAACTAAGAGTAACCTATATGACCTTAAATAAGGGTAACAATTTTTTTTCTGCTATGATTATCTCTACAATAGGATCACTGTAACAAACAGGATCAAAGCCAACATCAGGCATGTTCTTAAGAAAGGTACTTCTCAGCGACAACTGTGTCTTTTAAGCCCTTTTAAATTTAATCTAGGCAACATATTAAAAGCCACATATGGCAGCTTCACTCTAAAGGGTAGAAACAAGAGTCTGCACAAACAAATCTGGGAGAGAAAAAGCAATCATTATACGTTCCGCTTTTTTTTTTTTTTAAATGCACAGGCATACAGTAATACAGGTATCCCTCCTATAAATGTTTACAGATTTTTCAGATGAGATATACACACACACACTGGGCAAGGTCTTGAGACGTCCCTCGTTCAGGTTGGTCTGGAACTGATTCATTGTTTGCCCCTTTTTTTGATATGCACACAGGGAGGTATCTGCACAGATGCACTGGTTCATGACTTCTTTCCAGTATAAGAGGTTATTTCTCCTCCTCAGCTTAGATTTCAAGATGTCAATTCATCTGTTTTCCCTTCAGCTACCTGCAGAATTCCTGAAGCACAGGGTACTACAAGGATGACAGCATACCATTACTAACAGGCAAACCCTAATCAAACAGAAGTACACTGGGATGAAGGGACCAACCAGAGCCTAAGGAGGCATTTTTTCTTCAAACTTTCTGCAAAACCCACAACATCACCGATTCCTTGAGAAGAGAACAAAAACCCAGGCACCAATACAATCTTTTGAAAAACAAAGGCTATTGAGTTAAGCTGTTCTACTGCCTAAAGCACTGGTAAAAAGAGCAAAGTATTCTTCAGAGCATACAGCGCAGTTTAACCAGCCAAGGAGGAAGAAAATTGACTGCAAAGTGGAGTCCATGATTTACATCAGTAAAATGACCTTCTGAGACTTGTTCAAGGGCAACGAGGAAGCTGAAGCAGGAAATATCACCAGACATGTGCTGGGTTTGTCTAGGGAAAAAAAAAAACCCTCCTCTCGTGAATGCCGTTGTTTCTGATCTCAGCATTACACTTGTTTACAAAGTGCATACCGGTTCCCGACTACCTCCTGCTTCTGTTAACCAGAGTATGTCCCCAGACTGTCTTCTGGATCAGCACCGTGAGAAAGGCTGCACCTGGACATCTGATGAATCAGTATTTTATGGAGCAGTTTATGGAAGCAGGATTATGTGGTCTTCCTCCTCTGAAGAGGTAAGAGCCAGCCTGTGCCAGGGCGGCACATGAGAGACTCCATAGAAATAAGTTTCATCTCAGCTGGGGTGTGACACACCGAAAGGGCACACCAACTCCGCACAGCGGCAGCAAGTGTAGATGCTTCTCAAACTTCAGGATGATTTTTACCATCAGGCTGCACAGCTCACCCAGTAACAGTTCACAGGATCGGTCAAGTGACCAAAGCTGGCGCCCTGCGCACGTTAAGATCCTTATGACAGAAGTTTTTACCTACTACCGTCTTTCTTCTCCTTCCACCATCCCCCACACTCCACAAGCTGGTAGTTTCCATTCCATTTTTCATTGCTTAGAGAAGACTAGGCCAAGTCATAAACGTAACTTTCATGGCCCTGTATTTTGTGTACGATGAGCACATGAAGTGAGGCTGTCATTCTGCGCCTGGATGAGTGCTAGAGGACTCATTTGAAAAGTCCTTTTATTCTCTCTCCTCAAAGCAACACCTGCAACATCCTTCCAACAACTTTAATAAATTACTACAGTTGATATCTCGGTTGTGATTCTACACTTCAGATCTTAAAAATCTGATCAGGTGTAAGCTACCAGGGTCCCCACAAAACTGTCTTTTCCACAAACAGCGTAAAAAGCAACGGATGACAGCAGCACAGTAGCTTGAGAATTACACTCTCCTTTCCAGGATCAGAGGCACAGTATCTTGTTCAGCTTGAGTTTGCCCTTAAAAGAATTAGACCTACTTGTCCTCTGCCCTCTCTTGAGCAGCCCTGCAGGGAACAGAGGAACTAAAGCATGTTACCCAGACTGCCCCAGCTTCACAAGAAATCAGGTCCCCAATACTGTTTGCTGTGCAATCAGACAAACCCTTCTTCTGAAGGCTAGCAAACTAAAATACCAATGTTACTTTAATCATCGTCAAACAAGACTTGGGGTTTTGACTACAGAGATGCCAGCCTGCTCTGCTGCCATGGTAACAGACTTTTAAAAACTGTTCTCCTTAATAATAATAATAAAAAAAGTGCACGGAGCTTTAAGAAAGACTTTATTTTGACATTATTCCATCCCCCTCCTTAACATGGCAAGTTTTATTAATAAAGAAAAGACTGCAACAGTCTTCTGGAATTTAAGAGCAGTCCTTTCTGAGACAAACCAGAGCTGCTGTTACTGAGCTCCTTAAAACTAATAGCACATAAGGAAGAAGATTAGCGAAGAAAACTAAAATCACACAAAATCTTGCCTCTACAGAAAGAGGTCCTATACA